ACAGTTCGTGTCCTCTAGCCTCGCACGGTCCAGTCTCCTGTGTCCCAGAAACCCTTCTGTTTCTGTGTCACCGCAGCACCCCGCATGCCTTGAAAACCGACATACACCCGGGTGAGCGCCTCAAACGCCCACTTCTCCAGGTGTGCACCTGAACACAACTTCTGCATGTATTGGCCCAAGCCTCTAGGGCCTCCTGGTTGGTGAACATGCACTACTCAGAAGGTATTCTTGATGTACATGGGCATGTGTTGGCATTACGCCCGTACCTGCAGCACCTGAGCAAATAGCGGGTTATCCAGATACAGCCTGCCATTTTGCTCGGTGGTGAAGTTGGCCAGCAGCGCCTCAAACGCCGGCGGGAGCTTGGCGCGCTCCACTCCAGCCATTGTGTCCACCAGCTCGCGCAGGAGCAGCACCTGTGAAGTAGGCTGGCCCAGCACTTGCAGTACCATGCGCATGTCCGCCAGCACCTGAATAGGGATCACATGCTGCAATCAGGGATTGCTAGTCGAAACCGTCTGGCTCCACCAGCTGCCGTTCAACACGCAAGCAGCACACTCTTTCACAGCCAGCGCCTGACCATGCTTTGTACCCGTTCCCATTTGCAGGATTGCATTATGCAGGCCCCACCTCGGGAATGAGCTTTCCTGTCAGGGTTTGCTTGACCAGCTCCGCAGCTGTGATAGCCGTCCCTAACCGCCCCCTCCACTCCTGGCACAAGTACGCAAGCATGGCGATCTGCTGTGGTGACTGCCAGAGCAGGTCGCTTGGCAGTGGCGGATCCCAGCTCGCGGCCTGGGCCTTTAGCTGCTCCCAGGCGACTTGCAGCACGTCCTCGGACACCAAGGGGCTCAGGTTGAGTTGGGAGTGGTACGTGATTAGGGCAACACCGTTGGTCTGCGGCCATGCACAGCAGAGAGGCGTTAAAGAAGTAAGTGTAGAAAAGTAGATGTAAAGGCTGCGGAGAAGTAGTAATAAAACAGGGCTGTCGTAAAGCTGGAATAAAGTTTGCTGCTGGCCTGGAGAACTAGCTGATTAGCTGGTACTGAAAAGCTGTCGGTATGCAAGTGCTCCTCCCAAACCCCCAAAAAAACGCACGACCGACCCGACCGACCCAAATATCCTAGTCCGGCTAGCGGACCGACGCCAAGACGCCAACACGATATACCGAAAAAGCTCGAACCACCCTTTGGACTCACCTGGCCAGGCAGCAGAAGTAGCGGGCAAGGGCAAATGCAAAACAGAAGGGTAGCAAAGTGGTGAGCCGGGTGTAATAAAGGACAAGAAAACATGCGAATGCTGCTGAAAAATTTTAAACTGGCTGCAAAAGAGTTTTAATTGGCTGGCTGATGAGGAATTTTGACTGAAAAGGGAAAGTGAAAAAAGAAAGGAAACGCTTAAGAAGAAAAAGGCGGCAGAGGAAGGCATGAGAAGTGTTGTACTGGGCGAAAGGATGATGATGCAATTAACAGGATGCATAGCAGGTAGTTGTGGCCTGATGGGGTGAGAAAATTGGCAGCCAAAGCGTGGCCGTCAGAGTTCCAAAAACAGCAAGCAGCATCATAACGAAGTCTAAGCGCCTGGACTAACGCAGGAGCCAGGAATGCGCCTGACGTGCAACACCAGAATATGCGGCTCATAAGCAGAGCTCCGCACTGAAAGCTGGCATGCCCACGGCATTCACAAGCGTTGCAAGCAGGCAGGCATGCACGTAACCACAAGAGACAGGGATGCCAGTTTGTGTTCACACAATTGCTAGTAGATCAGCAACATGATTGAGTTCACACCGACACACGGCTGCTGCCGTTCACAACACCACCGCGTCAGCTGTGCTGCCAGCAATGTTGGCCCAGAAGCACGACGCGCCACTGCTGAGGGCCTGGATGCCTTCAGGTCTGCTCTCCACACATCTGCTTTCTTGCTCGCCTTCTTTAGCATGCACGTTACATAAACCCAGTTGTTACAACTGCCTAGGAAGATATATCGACATGTTCACAGCGACAATGAAGGTCCGTGGCCCACCATGGCTCTTGCCATACACACAAGGAGCGGCCACTCAGTCCTTGCACCCAATCGGTCTGGCGCGCCTATGACACACTGTCACGCCACAAGGAGACGTGTAAACAACTCCGGGTCACACATGTTGCGTGGCGCCAAGGGGTGTTGAGAGGCAAGGCCCCAGGCCTGAAGGCCCCCCCATTTAACTAACTAAAGATGCAGGCGGCTGGCAGAGGTTAAGGCCTGGCTTCTGCTCCCGTCGCGTCCCAGCGCGTCCGGGTTCAAATCCGCCTGCCGACCTCTCGGGGTGTTTGAGAGGTGATGAAATGGGAGGTGGCCCCCCATCTTGTGGACGGTGTAGGACGTGATAAAATCAACTCGCGAGCTGACCAGGAACTAAGTTGACGCGCCGTTGATCCGCTAGATTTGGTTGGATGCTGGTGGTGAGTTGCCAAACTCAAAGAGTACACTCTGACGTCGGATGGGGTGAATGGCTTAGGGTGCCCCTCTAGCAGGGGAGAGCAGGGAATTGCCTCGGGAAGGAGGCCACTGGTGAAGCTTAACCACCCTCTAACACATCAACTAACCTCCCTAGCATCACAGCAGACTAGCTCAATCAATGGATCTCGTCAAGGTGAAGCGATTGATGTCCATATTGGCACGTTTTAGCCGCTGGTGACGTTCTTTCGGGACCCCTTCGACATTGTTCCCAGAGCCCCGGACCCACCACCCCACACGCTGCCGTACAACCAACTTTGGGGACCAATAACTTATGTATTCCTGGGTCCATTTGCATTCTGAAAGCAGATATAGAATGCTCCCGTCTAGCTCTTTGAGAATAAAGCATATGCGTCCCCCCAGAAGAGCCTAAACCCCCCCTGCTGCAACACCAATTGCTCACCGGGGTGACTGCAACATTGGCCCATAGCGTCGCCATGGAACTGCCCGTGACGGCCCAGGCGACCCAGTGGGGGCTGTCCAGCAGGAGTTCCTTGAAGATGCTGCAGTACACACGACAGTTGAGGGAAGGAAAATGGTCCATGTGTCAGCTCCTTTGTGTCGTACGCCTGCTGTAGGCATGCGTGCAGACCTCTGCCCCTTGTGCAATATGCTTATGTCGTACAATTGAACCTCGCAGCGATCTCCCCTTAGTGCCTTCTGCCCCTCGTGTGAAGCTCCACCTGGGCGCGTTTCACTGGCCATTGCCCCTCATCCTCGCCCATGTGATCACACGACACGGTTAGGGAAACCTTGTGCTGATTTACCGCCGCATGTGCCGCACTGCATCCTTGTCCAGTGTTGAGCCGCGTACAGCGACTTTTCGCCGCGGACTTTTGCCGGGCGACTTTTTGCCGGGCATGGCCCGCTCAAGCAGGTAAAAACTCTGCGCCTCGTCAACCAGCAGGAAGTTCAGGCGGTCCCGTGGCAGGCGCTCCATGAAGTCTTGAATGGCGTCCTGTACGGCATTAGCCGAGTTGTTGCTGGGTGCAGGTGTGCTGGCGGCAGCAGAGAGCTGCTGTTTGGCGGCGCTCCGCTTGAGTCGAATGAGGAAAGCCTCCAGAAAGCCACTGATGCCGCTGCTGCGATCACAGCCCAAGCAGTTCACGTGCAGGAAGTTGGGCTCTGAAAGCACCATGCCAGCGTGCTGCTGGCCACTGCCACCGCTGCTGTAGTAGGTGTTGGCCACAGCAGGCAGAACCTCGTTGAGCATGTAGGACTTGCCAGTCTGCACAACGGGCACAAGATGGGCGCAAGATGGTAAGCGTGCATTCCCCTTGGTCGCTCAGCTGTGCATTACTCAATAGTGCACAAAGCTGCATGCATCACCCATCTACCACGCCTAATCTTCTCACTCCAAACCCTGTTCCATGTGGGTTGGACACAAGCTGCACAAGGAGCTCTCCGTCCTTGGTCAGGCCGTTATATCCCACCTTGACCAGACCGTTGATGAACAGCGGCCGGATGGGTCTCCCCATACAGTACTCATCCTCGGCAAGGTCCAGCCACTTCTTCAGCTCAGCTATCTGCCTGCCCTCGGGGTCCAGGAAGAACATGCTGTTCACGCCAGCACTTGTGGCAGCTGCAGCGCTGACAGTGTCCATGGGCTCAAAGAAGAACAGGTCCTGGTTCTGCGAGTCTTGCCGGAGCTGCAGCTTGCAAGCTGGCAGGCCTGCACAAGGATAGCCCATCGTGCCCACAAGGCGCATACACATTAAACAACCAGCCGCTGTCACCCAGTTCCAATGCATGCAGGATCACAACGAAGGGGTGCAGAGCAGCAAAGTGACGAAGCAACTTCAAGCTGAATCAAGCCAGAAGTCACACCCCTCAGTAGCAAGAGGGTGTATGTCATGCAGAACACTGAACCGCCCCTTTATGGTAGAGAAAGAGTGTGCTGTCACACAGGGCTGCACAATCGCAGGCCCAACAGGCTGGAACGTGTAACTGCCGAGTGTTATCACTATGCATGTTGCCCGCCTGCCGAGGGACAAGCCCTTCATGGACATGTTGGCGCTAGTGCTGTAAATGAGCATTCTGGTGAAGTCCCCCCTCCCCCGCTCTCCATTCGTTGTGGCCTGCGGCCTGAGGGTTGGTTGCTGTCCAGGAATGTGAGACCTGACGAGGCTGAGAGTGGGAGCCTGGCTGGTGCTTCCTCTACTGTAGGGCCCAACTCCGCCTCATAACACCATCACAACACCTGTGGAAACGTTAGTACGGTGCATGAGCAGGCCTAGCAGTTTGGGAAGGGGTGTGTAAGCAGCGACGATGGGAGGTGGTAATGGCTGATAATGGTAATGGCTGGTAATTGGTGTCCATGCACTCAAGCCCAGCGCTGCAATGAAACGGCACACCAAGCCCACAACACCTGTTCCCCCCCTTCCCGCGTCAGGCACAGTAGGCTCACCTGCAGCAGTGTTGCTGGTGCCAGCGTCAGCGCCTGCAGGCGGCAGGCCCAAGGCAGGCTGAGCAGGGTGGATCACCAGAACACCCACGCTGTACAAGATGAGCAGCATTAAGTCGTCAAGCATAATGATCATTATGCATTGTTATGCTTGACGATGTTGCAGCATGTGTGCACATCATAGACATGGTCGCCAGACAAAGTGCAGGGCGGGCCACTATCACAATGGGGCGCACAGCTGCAGGGCTGGGTGCTGTACTTTTTACAGCTGGCGGTATAGTGTCTACACAATGCTTTTACACGGTGAGCATGTTCACCAGCAGCCGCCGGCAGCAAACATGCAGGGGGAGGAAAGTATAATGGATCCCAGTGAGACGGCAGCTTTATCCGTGCCGGCAGCTTTATCCGTGCCGCTTTATCCGTGCCGCGAGCAGTGACAACCCCATCGGTCAGTCAGGCAGTCAGTCGCCATTCGGACACGATCAGCTGTGCCCATAGCAGCCAAGGTAGATCCCCTGCCATGGCCAGCCTACTCCACCACAATCTTCGCAGTAGCTCAATCACGTACATACTGAACCACCTCAGGATGTTTGAAATGCTGCTTTTGCTTAAGTCAAGTCGCCAATGAGGAGAATTTCACATGTATACTTAGGGTTTGACTGGCAACCAAGCGGGCCTTACACTGCAAGACCCTGTTACCGGCCGCCTTCCACCCGAAACCATTTAGATTGACGCTAAAATATCTTTCGAGTTTTTGCAAAAACAACTTCGGGTGGCTGCACTGGGGCCCTGGAAGCCGTGCTTCGCACGGACTCAAAACCATTTGGATCACTACGGGGTACCTCAATTTCCTCTGTAGGGCAAAGTAAAATATTCTCTAAAATGTCTATTGGGACTCTGTTTTCGGTCACCGACTTGGGGGTCACCGACCTCTGCCAGCAGGGTCAGGCATGCAAAATGGATGCAACACAACCATGTGCACGCGATATGGGGCCAGCAAGCTGCAGCTCACGAAGGACTTTCTCCACCAAGTTTGCCGATGCCCGTGAAGGGAACTACCCAAGCTAGCGCCACCAGCAGCTCAGTGCGCTATCGAGAAAGCTTGCACATCCGATTTACTCTCAACCACAAAGACTAGAAACACCGTTCTAAAGTCACTATACAAACAACACCTATATTAGGGTTTACTGTTGAGGAAGATCATCCGTCACAGCAATAACCTTTCCTGCAAGTTATTGTTTACGTCTTGCAAGCTATTGGTTACGATACCGGAGACAGGTTACAATACCGGAGACAGGACAGAAACCCCCTCTTAAGCAGAAAACTTCTCCGACACCTTAGTTGACAGGGCGATCAGTCGCATGCCGAACTTCAGATGTACCGAAAGACAACCAGCCTCACGGTCCACGCCACTCAATGTGTGCACAGCAGCATCCAAGATGCTAAAGTTGATATCTTGGCAGCGAGAGCAACCACCACGAGCAGGAGTCTATGCAACGCAGGCTCCTCGGCAAAGGATGACCTAGTTGGTGGCACAGGAACCGCGCTTAGAATTTACCTAAGGCCTGCCGAATGGCATCCACCACGCCAGGCGCCAGATGCGCTTGAACGAGATTTTCCCGTGTAGCTGCACGCAGGCGCGCCGCGGTCCGGTACTTGGCTGCCCACAGCAGCTCCAAGTCCTCTTCATCCAGCCCAGCAGAGTCCAGGCCAGCCTCTGTCAATGCAGCGCACATACGCTGCCTGTCATCTGGCGTCATTGCGCCAAACGCCAACCAACGCCACCGGTTCTCGCAGGTTCTGCTTCAGCTGCGTCGACCCCAAATAATTAGTGGAAACCCTCTACGGGAATACTACGGCTGCAAGTCGACGTCAGCGTTACGTTTGTTGCATTTTGCAGCTGCGGCAGCACCTAAGCTCTGATCAGAATCCAACGAGTGTGGCTTATGTATTCAAGCCGTGCTGGAATAAGTGACGTGGAGCACCTATCAGGAAATTTTGCAAAGGACCAATGAACACAAGATGTTATATGTTGTACGGGCCGTACTGCTCAGCAAAACATGTGTCCCCCACAGAGTTTGTCAAATCGGTTTCTACAGCTGCGGGAGGGCATAATTTCGGTAATTAAAACTAAAAAAATGTGGCGCCTTCCGGCGCCAAGGAAAACAGCATTTCAGGGCTGCACGTTCCGTACACATTGCAGGCCGAGGGGCGACAAGGGTTCGTCGCCAGGCAAGTTCTTGCGCCATGAAGCTCGCTCCTTCGCTCCTTCTGTGGTTAATGTATAATCTGCCTGAAGTTGATACGGTTGAGGGATGCTGGGCGGATATTGCTGGCCTGAGTATCACTGGCGGAGCCCTGTGAGGTTCACACTCGCACATGTAGGAGCCCAAGTGCTGTGGCGCAAACCCCTGGCTTGGTGTTTATTATGGCCAAGGAAGGAGCAGCATGTAGGCCCGACCTAGTGCTTATGTGCTGAGCCAAGGCTGGATGTGGACGTGTTGGGCGATTGGCAGAATCCTGGAGTAGTCGGAGTGTGCGTAAGAGGGGGATGACGTGTTTAGTGGTGTTTTGATTACCGTCGTGGCAGGGGGCAATGATATCTAATACATTCCCTTTATGATGAAGCGTCGAAATGGGAGCGTTTCGCGGTGCATTGTCGTCCCGTGTATGCATCCCTAACAAGGGTTCAGGCGAGTTGATGAAGCAGCCGTAGTGCTTCCTTTTAGGAGTTGCAGCGGTGGGGTGAGGATCAGGGCTGCGTTTGCGCATGGACTGCTGTATGGCATTTGCTGTTTCTCATGCATCAGTTTTTGCTTGTGATGGAGGTAGTGCTATGTACATGATGGTTTCACCACTCCTCGTACGTCTGTGAAGGTTTGAAGGTATAATGTGGTGGTAAGCTAAATCGCCGAGTACGGCATGCTGCGTTGAATCACCTTATTCTATTTCATCGTTGGGATTTGCCCGGCCGCCCAACCCTTTCATTTGCTGCGGATGCCTGGATGTGCGCGTGCACCGCGGGGCTATTCACTGATTGCGGTTGACCAGAAATAGTTGGTGAGTGGAGTGTAGTCAGCTACTTCGAAGCCGAAAAGGGCCCTCGGCCCGGGTGTAGCAAGGAGTTGCCCCGCAGTATTCCGCAGGGGACGCTGTACGGCACTGGGCTGCAAGTGGCTAGACCCACCACTACGGGGTGCTATATCACGACTTCAGAAAAGTACTGATCGGCAGCTGCAGATGTCAGATCCCGTGATAGTGCGCTCGCCAGGATTCTAAACGAGGGCCATCTGGTTTGTGGTGGTGTAAAACACCCGGCCCCTTGCCAGCCCTTGCCCCCAAAAGACGATCACGATGACGCATGATGACGATGATGATGATCATGATAACGATAAGGATCAGAAGGACGCTTGCAAGGAAGACGGGACACGTAGGAACTGGAAAACTTGCACACATCAGTCGTGCGGGCTCAGCAACGCAGGGGTGATTACGACACTAGATATGATAAATATGATATGACACGATATCTTGTGTAGCAGCGCAAAACCTCGGCAAAAAGCAGCAGCAGCAGCAGCAGCAGCAGCCGCCGCATGTGGCCCTCCTCCATCCGCCCGTATACAGAAGCCGGTGGTGGGAGGTATGTGTGTATGAGGTAGCAGCACTGTGGCTACTATTACCGACCGCGCCACACAGTGAGGACTCCCCATCGCCCATCCCTCTCTCCTCGCTCCACGCACCCTTTCCTCTCCCCTTCCCTCGTCCCTCCTCTTCGCATGCTGGTCTGTCCACCCGTCATGACGTGCGTACGGTGGGGTGTATTCAGTACCCCCATAACCACCGCGGGTCGTTCCCAAACGCCCTCGAAAGCTCCTGATTGAAGGGCCTGCGGAGGGAGGGGCAGCGGAAACAGTAGCAAAGAGGTAACACAAAAACTAGCAACAGCAGCGAGAG